CAATAGCACTTTGTGCCCATGATAAGAAAATGTACAAAGTTCTCATGAGGGACTAATGCTTGCAAGCTTGCCTGAAAGAGAGAGATAGAGAGTTAGTTGTCTCTATACTTCCAGTAATATGTATGTGTCACGATAAAGAGAGACTTCCAAAAAAAAGTCACCTTTGCATGTTGCTTGTCGAGAATGAAAAGAAGAAGTTAACAAAGTGTTAAAGTAGCTGAAACCTTTTGGAAATAAAATAATAATTTTAGGTGGAGACTTACGTCAAATTCTCCCAGTAGTATAGAACGGAAGCAAAATTACTATTGTTCAAGGAACCATAGAATTCTCCAATTTTTGGCTTTTATTTAATATTTTTTATTTAAAAAATAATATACGTTCAATTGATAAGAAATTTTCTTCATTGCTACTGGATATAGGCATAGGAAAAGGCAAAATTAAAACTTTGAGAATTCCTCAGACATGAAAAACAAATGAGATCTTGCATTGTCTAGATGTAGAAACTCAAAAAAAATTTTTATCCAAATGGAATCAGAAGACAAATTTCAAATTAAAAATATTGTTTGTAATGAAATTTTTGAGTAACAAAAAAACTATTCCATAGTTCATTACTATTTTTATACTTTCTTGCAAATTTTTTCTTTCATCAAAAAAGTTAATTTCAGTGCCGTCTAGTACCTAGATTAATGTAATTATAAACAATTCGTTTTTTGTAATATGTATTCAGATACACCATCATCGATGCAAAATTTTATCAGTGTGACAAATGTAACTCAAAATTTTCAAATCAAGAGTGTCTATCATCGCAAGAAAAAATTCACAAAAAAAAAATTGTTTGTATGTGATCTGTGTAGCATTATAATATAAGACAAGAAAAACTATTTGCGTCACACAAAGGAATGCCAAAACATTGAAAAAAATTTTAAGTGTATCAAATGCGAAAAAAGTTATAAAAGAAATTATCACTTACAGAGACATTTGAAAAGTCATGAAAAAAACGTTCAAAAATATATTTGTCAAAATTTTGGGAAAGGTTATATAAGAGCAGAGCACTTAAAAAGACATTTTAGAGTATGTAATCAAAATAAACATCGTAAGTAAGAAAATTGTAAGAAAATTTTTTGTTATGGTCAAATAAAATTATATGTGAAAATTAGACCATTTGTAACAGTTAATATATAAGGCTTTACAAATTTATACACATTATATATGGGGAAGCTGGGGGGGAGCTGGAGAGGAGCTGGGTGGTAGCGAGGGAGTGGGGGGGGGAGCAAAACCTCGCTCTAACTCTTATGACTAAATTATATAGGAACATATTTATATGTCTCACTTTAAGATGGATGCGGTTGATAGGTGTTAGTTCCGACCTTGGCCACTTCGTTTTATTGTATAGGCTCTTCGGCGCTGTGGTAGTCACATTTCTCTCAAATATGGCGTCATGATTTAAGGCGCAGAACGGCACGAAAATAAGTCCTCGGAACGTCACACCTTGTANGATTCCCTCAGAGAGGTTACCGCCTGGGGTACTTTTGGTATTTAATTTATCTGTTCATATTGAGATTAAATAAAAAAGTTTTTGAGACAATAAATTGTATCAATTTCTTGATTAATAGAAAACTCCTTTAAGAAAGTGGTTTAAATAAATAATAATTTTGATGCTGGCTAGCTCTATTAAATGTGTTGATATTAATAAATGTGACACATTCGATAGTCAAAAGAAGCAGATGGCTAGACCAAAACGTTTGACAATAATGTTGCTATTAGTAAATTAAACGTCATTTCTTCTAAAAAACAGGAAAGATTTTGTTCTGAATTAATATTAAATCAAGTAAAAGGTAAAATATCTCTTACAGATTTAAAAACTTTTAACAATATTACTAACAATGCGTTCAAGAATACAGCTATCCTCAAGGGGGTGTTGAGAAGGAGGTAATGGTGTGCAGGAGGAAGCTGAAACTTATGTTTTTTCACACAACTATATAATGTTCGGATTTTAATATATATGTATATATATATATATATATTCATATATATATATATATATACNTATATATATATATATAAGTCAATCAAGAAGAACCATCATATTTTCAAGGCTAAAATTGACAAATGCTTAAAATAAATTTTTCATTGTCAAAGTCTTTATTTTGTGTTGGCCGTGACTAGAATCAGCTAAAATTTGTTGAGCTTTGCTGAATCTGCACCAGAAAAATTTGTACAATGACTTTCTTAAATTATGTAAAAAAATGAAATGCTCTTACACAATCTTATTATTACGAAAGTAAGTGTGCTGTCAATGATAACTCAACTTTATCTCACGTTTTTACCATATGCTTACAATATGCGTCCTCTTAAATCACTATAAGTGGGTAATCTAACAGTAAATTAGGATAAAATATATTTTGTTTAGTATCAGAATAGCGTTACGGGCTCTAAGCAAAAAGTAGACCTTAATAGGTTTTCATAAATTTGTCAAAAAGTTGAGATCGCAACGCACTTAACGCAAATTAAACTCTGCCACTGCACTTATTTGATATATAAGACAGCTGTACTTAAACTTTTCTCCTACTGAGTCCATGATCCTACTTCTTATAAAGTTACATGATGTTCTGTAGTGTTACAGGCTCTTAATTTTTTTTTTTTTGTGGGAGATTTAATCTATAAATTTCCGAACCTGTATCACTGGCTTATCTGGTTGAAAAAATTGAAAAGAGTCTTGCAATATTATCAACCCCTATAGAATAAAAAACGTCTAAATTAGATAATATTAAAATAAATTTTAAATCTCAAATATAATTGTGTGCATTTGTGAGAGATTTCCAGTTGAAATATTAAATTTATAAGATTTTGGTCCCGTGACTTAAACGCCATCTGAATCATACACACAATTTTTTTTTCTTTTTTAAAACACGTAAGAATATTGTTTTGCGCTGATAACTACAAGATTTCATGCCATAGATCAATTAAAAAACTTCTTGTCATCACAGAAAATGTTAATTTTTAAAGAACACATAAGCCCGTAACGCTAACTTGTTTTTCTACCATAAACTAAAGCAATACTTTTTTAATGGTCTGACTATAGTAACTTAAGCAGTGAACATCCCTTGAATAATTGTAAAAGTTTTCAGATCCATATCCTCCTAAATAATGTTCTAATCAACTAAGACATGAAATAATCCGTTTCCGGTAGGATAACCCACGTATGCGTGTGTGTGTGTGTAGTAGTAGTAGCAGTAGATGTAGCAGCAGTAGTGCCACCAGTAGTAGTAATAGTAGTAGTGGTAGTAGTATTAGTAGTAGCACTAGTAGTCGTTTTTTTTTTTTTTTTTTTTTTGTGGAGGAAGAAAAAAAGCATTGAGGCACAGCGCAGGAATAGCGGTAGTGTGGGACTCGGTGGATTTTTTTTTAAAGGCCCCTTTGCCTTCTTTGTTTCCTGCTTGGGTCTTCCTTCTGGCCCCTTCTAGCGCTCTTCTGTATAAAGGGCCGCTCCCACTTCCTGCTTCGTGCTTGTTGTCCGTTGCTGGGCAAAGGAAGCATCGTGCTGGGCCTGGACATTCTTTTTTTCGGTGGTTTCAGCTTCCACACTTGAAGCAAACCTTAGACATATTTTCTTCCTTACAGTTGCCTGAGACGTGTCCATATCCCAGGCATTTGTAACATCTTGTTACTTCAATTATTCTTCAAATTCGGCAGCTTACGAAGCCGACTTGTGATCTGCCTTCCTCTTCTGCTTGTCTGGCAGTTGGTTTGTCAATGTCCACCTTTATCAACGCCAGCCTCTGTTCTCTGGCATTTGGTATTAAGAAAGCTACTTGTGGCTCCTGGCTCCTCAGTCCAAAAGTCCTAGCGAAAGCCTCTTTCACCTTATCTTCCTCTACAATGGCATCCAGGTCTCGAAACTCAAGTGTCACTTTTTTCTGGCTCATTCAGGAGAATCTCTTCTTGTTTGCCACTACCTGTCTTCTTTTTCTTTGAAGACATAATATGCTGGCGTTTTTCAGGGCTGTCCGATGGGCTCCTGTTTCTCTTACTTCGTTCTATTTCCTTCAAGGCAGTGTTCAGGGTTCGTTTCTGTACATGCCGTCGGAAATTATCTCGCCTTTTTTCCCTCCACTGCAGGGATTCAAATGACGACTTCCAAGCGTTGGTATACAAATCTTCATCCATAAGACAGCCTTTTCTTAGCTCCTCTGCCTCTTGAAGATTCTTAAGCGCCGCTTTGAGCCCATTTTTTACAGCGTTTGCTGTGTTGCCGTACTTATCATTAATCAGTTGCAGCGTCTCTGTAATGTCATTCGTTGCTGATTGGAAACGTTGCTAACCTCGGTGTCGTTAGTGCCTATACTCGCCAGGCTTCCTCGTCGTCCTTAGTATGTAAGGAAAGGCCATGGAACATTTAGCAGTCCCTGTTGGCCATAAGACACGTCTTTGTGCCCCCCCCCCCCCTTAGTATCCGTGGGGCCTGCGTTAGTCACCCAGGCTTTTACCGGATCGGAACTGCCGGCGGATTCCCTCAGAGAGGTTACCGCCTGGGGTACTTGTTTTGCATTGACGTTTTCCATATTGGCATCTTTTTTAATGTCGTACTGACCCGCGAGGGCTAGCACTACCCTTTTTTTCTGGAAATAAGTATTTGGAAAGGGTTATAACCAGGGCAGCAGCCCTCTCTGTTACCAGAGAAAACTGCTACTTGCTCGGGCCGGCCGGGAGTCGCCACTCTCCCTCAGTCCCACCCACGGAGACTGCCCTGGCGTTGAGTAACAAGTTTAACAATAATGTTCAAGTATTTAAAAAAAAATAATGATTGNTCGGATTTTTGATTTATTAGTGAATTCACTACTTTGATGATTTAAAAAAATTTTTTATCTAAGTACATACCAAATCAATTTATAAACAAATTTTGATTTATAGTTTGCTTAAAAAGAATCTTCTGAAAATCACAACATTTTTTAGATGTCATTATTAATTCTAATAATTAATTAATTTAAAACATTTTTCAGCTTCTTTGTTTGGTACTCAGCTACCAAGTAAATTACCACATTTATGGGTCTTCATGTTACCAGATAGTTTAAGAAATTATAGTATTAATTCAAGCAAAATTATGTCATTAGAAGAAACTAATAAGTTAGTTCTCAGTCTTCAAGTCTTAGAAGTTGTGGTACCAAGCTTAGATGATTCGCTTATTCCATGTGTTATGAAGTGTCTAGAAAATATTTGTTTTCTACTGACTAATCCTTACAAAATTTTAAGACACATGGGATCACGTTGTATAGCAGTATTAGCATCGCTTAGGACTAAAGAGGTGGGTGATGTTCTAACTTTTATTTTATTTTATAAATAATACTTAGCGTTACGGATAGTGAAAGTTTGACCTGATGATAATTTGGGTCAGTGTTACTTATCTTATAAGTAAAATTATTTATTATCTATGATTTTTTATCATAAGAGATGTGACGTGGAAAATCCATGTCACAGTTATACTGCATGATTTAACCGACAAGAGGAGAGGTGGTCCGATGCTTTTTTTTTTTTTTTTTTTTTGTGGAGGGAAGGAAAATGCATTGAGGCACACCGCAGGGACAGCGGTAGTATGGGACTCGGTGGATTTTTTTTATTAGACTACCCATACCCACTAAACCCCCCCCCCCTGCCCATGCCGCGTGGCTTTTCATCCACCCCGGAACCGTGTTAGCATTACTTCAGGGTGGAGTGACCAGGGAGACCATCGCGTTTCACAGCATTAACGAGTTAACTCGGCACTATTTCTAGAGGTGCTGATGCTCTCGAGTCCTGAAAAGGACTTGGGGTCCCTGAGGACCAGCACCTTGTCTAGCGCTTCTTAGTAGGCCGCCTACCTAGCCAGCACCACTATAAGCTTAATGCATCGTTGCTGATAGGTAAAAAGTACCCAGCGCAGCGTGAGTCCACATAAGCCTGTCTTTCAACTCAAGGCCTTTTTGCCTTATTTTGATCCTGCTTGGGCCTTATCCCTGGCCTCTTCCAGGGCTCTTCTAAATAAAGGGCAGCTCCCGCTGCCTGCTTCGTGCTTGTTGTCCGTTGTTGGGCAAAGGATGCACCGTGCTGGGCCTGGACACTTTTTTTTCTGGTGGTTTGAGCTTCCACACTGGAAGCAAAGCTTGGATCTGTTTTTTTTTCTACTGTTGCCTGAGACGTGTCCATATCCCAGGCACTTTTAACATCTTGTTACTTCGATTCTTTTTTAAATTCGGCAGCTTACAAAGTCAACTCGTAACCTGCCTTTTTTTTCTACTTGTCTGGCAGATGCTTTGTCCAACTTGATGCTCTGCACTAAAGTGAGGCGCTCCTGGATATCCCTTCTCGTGACCGCGTCCGCTTACACCTACGCTCTGTACAGCAGAATCAAGTTGAAGACGGACGTAAGAAGCGTTTTGGCTCCTCGGGGCCCTTAAACGTTCGGCATTAACCGTGAAAGCGCTCCAGAGACCCTAGCGGCTTTGTCGACTACTTTTTCGATGTGCTCCCAGAAGGTAAGCCGTGAATCGGTCCACACCCCTAAGTAGCGCACCACCAAACCCGCATAGATTATCTTACTTGCAACTTTCAGGCGGAAGGGCACCCAAACCATCTCTGCCTGGTCAGAATAGCCATCTCCGTTTTTTCAATTGCCAGTTCGAAACCGTGATCCCAAAGCCAACTTAGATCATGATAAAATAGTCAGAAGTAGGGATCTCCGATAAGTATTGATTATGATGTGTAGGAGTTCTATCATGAATTCAACTTTGATGAGCTCAACATATTGGAGCTGTTAAAGTTTTAACAGTGACAAATTTATGATTTTCCAAAAAGTTTGTTATTTCATTATGTCTCTTTGCAATTAACTTCGAAGGTAAAAAAATGTCTTAATACTAACCTCAACGTTAAATGTTGAGCTTTTTGGAAATTTACTGTCAAAACAGAAGCTTAAATTAAAAATATCAATTTGATATTCAAGTTTTTCTAAAGTTACACTTTAAGTCTTAGTACAGGTTATCATCTGAAGCCCCTCTTGATCACAAGAACTTAGGCGTATTTTGAAACTATTGTTTCTTAAACGGTAATTTAAAATAATTCATTGGGACTAGTTCCATACTGATTCTGCATATGTTTTTTGATTCTTGAATCTAAGCAAGAAGAAGATTATGGTTAATATACAAAAGTTGATTTCATTTTTAAACGGTATTAAAGATCAAAATTTACATTTAATTATTGATGACCATCTTAAGCTCATAGCATAATAATTGCTCTTAAGATTATATTCTGGTTGGTGTATCTTCTGATCACATATGTAGGTGTGCAATTTAAAAATGGTAAGACCTTGAAATAACGCTTTAGAGTCAAATGAATAAAGCAACTAAAGACTATTTTACATGTAAAATTTTTAATTCCTTTAGAATTTAGTATTAAAAAAAATTGGTTCCTATTAAAAAGGGCAGCAGCCCTCTCTGTTACCAGAGAGAACCGCTACTTGCTCGGGCCGGCCGGGTGTCGCCACTCTCCCTCAGTCCCACCCACGGAGACTGCCCATGCTTAAGCACCGCTTTGAGCCCATTTTTTACAGCGTTTGCTGTGTTGCCGTACTTATCATTAATCAGTTGCAGCGTCTCTGTAATGTCATTCGTTGCTGATTGGACTTTATCAGCATCTNAAAGAATTATGAAATTAAAAATAATCATGTATATAAATTAGAAAAGAAGAAATTAAAAAATTTGTATGGTTCAGGGAGCGGTGTTGGCTCAGTGATAAGCGTGCTTTTTAGTATAAAATACAATACCACAAATACCACACCGTTGTTAATTCTAATAATTAATTAATTTAAAACATTTTTCAGCTTCTTTGTTTGGTACTCAGCTACCAAGTAAATTACCACATTTATGGGTCTTCATGTTACCAGATAGTTTAAGAAATTATAGTATTAATTCAAGCAAAATTATGTCATTAGAAGAAACTAATAAGTTAGTTCTCAGTCTTCAAGTCTTAGAAGTTGTGGTACCAAGCTTAGATGATTCGCTTATTCCATGTGTTATGAAGTGTCTAGAAAATATTTGTTTTCTACTGACTAATCCTTACAAAATTTTAAGACACATGGGATCACGTTGTATAGCAGTATTAGCATCGCTTAGGACTAAAGAGGTGGGTGATGTTCTAACTTTTATTTTATTTTATAAATAATACTTAGCGTTACGGATAGTGAAAGTTTGACCTGATGATAATTTGGGTCAGTGTTACTTATCTTATAAGTAAAATTATTTATTATCTATGATTTTTTATCATAAGAGATGTGACGTGGAAAATCCATGTCACAGTTATACTGCATGATTTAACCGACAAGAGGAGAGGTGGTCCGATGCTCGATAACCCTACCTCATCCCATGCCTATGTACCTGAACCTACTCCTGCTATTAGCCGTGCAGCGACTCTTCGGCGGCGTGCAACAGCTGATGTTTATGCACTCTAATATATATGTGGCTAGGGCATAGGGACAGGAAGCACAAGTCAGCCGAAAGATACTCTCTCTCTTTTTTGTCTTCGCACAATAAATGCATGCTGCACGGAACGTTTTAAGAAAAACGACACATGTGCGTGAAAAAGCAAGCAACCGCTATGCTGATCTTATACTGATGGAGCTGAAGGTGAATATGGTCAATAAAAAAGTCGTATAGTGGGACGACTTACACTGGCATTGATATTAGGTACTTGTTTTAAGCAAATATAAGCTATGTCTTATGTAACAGTTTATTGTTTTCTTTTTTAATTGATGTATGTTACCAAGTGTATTATCCACCTTATCCCTTCAATCCTTCGTTCCGTACTTTTATCTCGTGCCTTGCTTGTTAGTGCAAGGTAAGTAAGGCACGACACATTATAGAGTACGACACGCTGGCTCTTTTTTAAAATATGAGAAATTCTGAACATGATTTTGAATTTATTTCAGTATTTTATGTTATATTATGTTATGTTATGTACTGTACTCTATTATTAATTATTAATTTTTTTTTCTAAACTTAAGTTGTGCAAGGTTCATTTTTATTTGATTTTAAATTTTAATACACTCATAGCTTTTTTTTACACTGACATCTGTTGTAAGTAGTTAATACTGAGATTGAAAAAACAGCAAAAAAAACTGCTTACTATTTAAAGATAAGAAACTCTAAAAGTTATCATGGAGAAATGTACAGAATCTTTGAATAATTAATAGTACCTGTACTTTTATGTGTATTTAAGTTCAAATTTAATATTTAATTTTTGTTGCTAAAAGAGACCCCTAAGAAAGTAGAATTTTTTAGTCAGACTACAGAAATTATTATTATTCCTAGTACTTGAAAATCTGTAACGTATATGGCTGTGTATAAACGTGAAGCCTTTCAGACTTGGTAGTGCTCTCTAATATATTGATACTCTATTTAAGTATTTTCTATCTTCAGTTATCTCCTTTAGCTTTCTGCTAGTAGTATAACAAGAGGTAGCATGGTCTACTGCTATCTGTGAAATTGCCTCATGATACCTAAATGTCTGACCCCTAAATGTACACCTACTGGCACAGCCACCGGTTTTGAGGGCTCTAATGCCTCTTGCAAAGAAAGTGTCCATGACTCGTTCTACTTCATATTTGATTTTTATTTTGGGGATCTCTTTCCTAACTAGCTCATGTCTTACATTAGTGATATGAATTGCCTGATACCTCTTATATCTGATAGTCTTTACCTTATCTCTCTATTCCAGGAGGCACTTGACAAAGAAAACCAGCAACGCTGCACGTCATTCTTCGTTTTTGATATAATTTCTATACTTAGTGTTGCTATTGTTTTGACATTTTTGTTGTTACTGTAACAGTATTTATTGTCAATTGCTATTGTCTTATTGTTATTAATGCAGTTACTGTTTTGGTTGTTGTTGTTGTTGTTGTTGTTGTTGTTGTTAATTCCTTCGTTATTAACGAAACTTGTCAACAGTACTAATTGCAACTAAAAGTTTGCATCAGCATAATTTATTAAAACTAAACTAACAGTACGATTTTCTGTAGCTAAACAAGTTTTCTTTCTTTTTTAAATTTATTGGCTATTTATATTTATTATCTGGGCTATAAAATCCTGTTGATTGTCATTTAATTTTTTTAAAATGAAGACATACACTTGAAAGTGTAATTAATTTTCTGAACTATCTTTGATCTAACTCTGAATGTCTGTTGTTTGTATGAGTAGATTAGTTTGTAGTGTAGTCAGTAACGTCAAAACATTATTCTTATACTGTAAAAAATTTTGTACGCTAAGTACATGAAAACAACTGGGTAATCAATCTTATTTTGCGTATAACTTTTATATTTATGAACCTCATTTTTCATGCTATAACTTCTTATCTTCTTCGTAGGTTGAGATTTTACGAAATTTTAACGTGTTATTTTATTTCCAAAAAATTATGAAATTAAAAATAATCATGTATATAAATTAGAAAAGAAGAAATTAAAAAATTTGTATGGTTCAGGGAGCGGTGTTGGCTCAGTGATAAGCGTGCTTTTTAGTATAAAATACAATACCACAAATACCACACCGTTGAAGGGGTCGTGGGTTCGATTCCCAGTAAGAGCCAATTTTTTCAGAAACTTTTTTCACTGGAAAAAGTTACTACGAAACCCTGCCTGTTTAGGGGTGAATTTCTCCATTGAATTTTCCTGCAGAGTGATTTCAGGGTTTTTTCCGTGCCCCACAAGTCTTCGGACCTGTCTGAATACGAAGCAAGTTTAGGGCTAGAGGTAAGAATTAGCAGATCTTATTCCAAGTCCCAGGGGTAGTCGGCCTTACTGGCTAGGAGTGGTCCGTAAACCATGTAGCTTTTCCGGAGATGCTAGTTAGCTTGGATCCGATGCTTCGGCAAAGAGTGCTGGCTGAACCGGAGAGAAGTAAACGACCTAAAATACGGAATCATTTCCAGAGAAAGGCTTACACAGTGGCGAGTAGACCCAATTCATCATTGATGCAACTTAACTGGCAAGGTGTTTCAGCGAAGATATTGCAATGTACCCATGGTATGATATGTACGATATTAAATGGGTGATTCATAATTTGGTGCGGAAATAGACCTCTACTGGTATAAGGAGTGGGTGGCCCCGGTAATTAATCTAGTAGGCTGTAGTGGTAACCCGGTAGAAAGGAAAAAAAGTATGGTTCTAATACATTGGCAACAAAAATTTTATTTTAATTGTAAACTGTGAACGTAAAAGTAAAGTCAGCTTTGATATTTCTTGTTAAAGTTCCGTAACTGCATCATAAAATTAATATACATTGATTCAAATACCATGAATCTATATTAAACCATTATCCGGAAGTGGAGGATAAGTGGGGAGTGCGAAGAGTAGAAAAATTTATATAAAGTTTATATTCCTATATTTTAATTTTTTCGAGTGCCGAATTCCACACAACTTCCCACAGGTCCCCTATGGATTTCCACTCATGCCCTACTGTCCTTCAAAAAATTTAGAAAATTAAGTCTATTTCTCTGTCATTTTGACGTTTTTATAACGTAAAGTAAAAAAAATTACATTGGACAATTGTCGAATTATGGTTAGAGAAATTGCTATCGACCAAAACATATTTATTTGATCGAGTCACTAAATTTAGAAATTTCTATCGACCAAAACATATTTATTTGATCGAGTCAATAAATTTTAACGAATGATTTGGGCGTGAGATAGGTCCATGCAAAATTAATACCGAAACTGCTCGATTTTGCCTAATAACGTCAACGCGTTAGTATTGTTTGAACTCTATTAGACGTAGTCCACGATGTGTAAATTTTGCTCCAGAGAGTTATCACTGATAATGAATTGTAGATTTATAGTTTCATCGTAAAAACAAAATCTCTATATTCTTAATTACAGCTGCTACATATGCCAAGACCAATAAAAGCATGCTAAGTTTGAATGAGTTAAGTTTTTATGTAACTTTGATTTCAGGACTAAAAATATATTTTTCCGCACTCGGGTGGTTTTGGGAGGCTGGTACTTCCTCGGGCGAAAAAGCAGTTTTCCAGAACTCGTTCGAAAAGTCTCCTTTACGAACCTCGTTACGACCCTCGCCTTCGGCTCGGGCCGCAAACCTCTCGGTTCGCAAACAAAGACTTTTCAATCTCGTAGGAAAACTACTATTTATCAAATATCGTATAAAAATCATATTCCAATTGTGTTTGTTCATAAAGTAAAAATTTTACCATAACATACACAAAACAATTGTCTAAGTTTAAAAAATAGTTAATTTCATTATATATTCCAAAAAGTAAATTGACGAATTCTAAATAAAAATAAAATTTTTGAACCTCTTACATACTTGTGTATAATGTAAACTGAAACACAGTGTAGAAAAGAATTTGTTTCAACTTCATAGGAACATGTTTATTTCTCAGAAGGCTTGTTACAAAGGTGTTGCATTAATCAGGAGCACTACAAGCAATTTAAGTAAATCTCAGATTTATGAGATGTATACCCATAGCGTATAATTGTGTGGTTTGAAGACGACACCTAGCTTTTCCTGCTCTCTCCTTATTTCCCTAGCTCTGTCCCTATATAAGATAATTTTTATTTGTTTTACCTGTAAAATTTAACCCAATAAAAAATTAAGTTGATCAACCTTTACTCCCCCCAGCTCCCACGTGACTCCCCCTTAATAAGGTAACATCGGAAGGTATGGCTTTGTATTGTGCAGTATGTTATACAGTTGTATAATTTTGTGATGGTAATTAGCTTTTTCCTAAGTAAGGTAATCTTATTTTGCTCACCCGTTCCATTTGAAAAAAAGTTAATTAAGCCTCACATTTGTAAGTCGCAACAGCTAAGAATTTCACTGCTAGTACCATATTAAATTAAAACTGCGAGTAAAACTTCAAAAAGTATACAGTCTGTGTTTTAAGTCTTACAAATACATTATGTTTCTTAAACATTATTGATGTTGGATGCAGTGCAAAAATGAATAATAATACATAGACAAATGCACTTTACGGAATTTTCGTTTCTATTTACAACATACACTACGGTTGCCCTTACGTAAATGTATTGTAACATAGCTTAATCCACATACAGCCAGATATCACGGTTGACAGAAAACGGAAAACGCTCACTCAATAAACTTCTTTTATAAACGTATTGTACTAGTATATATTTAAGAAAAAAATGAATATGTACAAGATAGACTGCTTATTATTGGATGGACCCATTGGCATTGAATTTCAATGAAAAAAGAAGAGCATTTGAGGAGAAATAGCTAGTTAGTCCTTTTTTCTCGTATTTTTGCAAAATAAAAGTATTAAGAAGAACCGCATAGGTTGCATTCCGCTAATGCTGCCAGCAGTTGGTTTCTTAGTCCAAAGCTTGTAAAAAAAAAAAAGGTATTAGTCTTAAATATACTCACCTTACATTTTATTTTTCAAAAAGTCTTGTTGGTATACAAAAAACACTACCAGCAGTAAATTTTTAGTTGACCAAGGGATGCTAATACCACCACCTACAAATTGTAGCTTGGTTTGACTTATATAAATGCGTTCTCAGCCTGAATTAATAATCATGTGAGTATTGTTGTTATTTTTGTCTACTTATTTTTATCAGTAACAGTTAGCTACACTTATTAAAAGGTGAAAGCAGCACTTGTAATTAAACAACTCAAAAATATGAAAAACTACCAGAACCTATGTAATTTAAATAAATTTGTTTACACTTTAACTTACAATATATTCTACATCGTTTCAAATATATTTTTTATCGCCACTAAGAAAAAAAAAAAAAACATTATTTTAAAAACTTACGAAAAATAGAGGTTACTCAGTACTCTCATTCCGCCTCAATCTAAGGGGTGTATCGGTGTAGCATCGAGGTGGTATGTGTACCTGTAAATTTTAAATTAAGGATAGGTTTTTTCAAATAATTTATTATATGTTTATTGTATAATCTATAACTCATAAAGAACAATGAAATAAAGTTTGTAAAAGTAATGATAATGTTTTTATTTTAAAAAATAGTGCATCACACTCCTCTCATGTATTTAGATAACTGACAAAAAAGTCTTTAGTTGTACAGTATGTGCATTTTAATACTCAAATGTTAGAACAATATACTAATTATTTAGGAAAAAACAATTACACATGCTTTTGAATTCAGTGGATGAGCAATAAAAAAAATCCTAATTTTTTTAACAATAATTGAGGCACTTCACCTCAAAATACGGTCGACTTTTTTATAGCGTACCTACCTGATTTGTAAGCGAAATCTCCTAGAATTTTTATTTTTAGGATCTTGATTAATTCTTTTTAAAGTGTTTTGCGAGGAATCTTAAGTTTTTCAGATACAGATCCTAGTTTTTTCCTAGTCGATATACTCATATCGCATTATGAATATAAATTCACTCTGCCCCAAAGATTATCTTCATTTGAAACAATTATAATCATTTTATTTATAAGAGGTTACATGAAATAGGTCCTCATTTTAAAAGCCGTTATCCTTCAGCAAATCATTCTTAATTATTTACTTGTTTGTTAAAAATCCTTAAAATTACTTTGTAGCAGGCTTGTATTTTTATCATACCATTAACTACATTCTTGCTTTGAAACATTGGAAATATTCAATGCAGTGTAGAAATAAGTTGTAGTACGAAAACACATATAGTTTATTTAATTATATTACTGTGTGATTCATATGATAAGGTACCGTTTACGTAAATGTATAGAAATATAATTTCACCTGTGGACACAACATTAAAAAAGATTAAAGGGAAATAACGTATGCTAACTGAAGAATAAATTTTAGAAGTGTTTATGAACATACAAAGGATATATTGCTTATTTCAAGCAGGAGGACCATGGTAAGGATACTGTAGCTGATCTCAAACAAAAGAGAAGTCAAAGGCCAATCTCTGTTTTACATAAGTCTTACTGTCTTTATTTAAAATAAAACTTTGTTCATATGTCCCTAAAAGCAGCCCAATAAATTTTCTCCCAGTCTACCTTAACCAGCCTCCCTCACAGATTGTCTCTTTTTTTATAATCTCGAGATATGATGTACTTCTCAAAATTAAGTCAGATTTAACAATTTTTTTATATATAAGAGAAGTTGTTGTGAAAGTACCTTTTATTTCCAAACAATTTCTTTGATTTACTAATAATTTCTTTTAAATCAAGCATCCAAGAATAGTGAGAGATGGAAGCAGCATTAATAAGTAAGTCAAGAGCTATGCCATTCATATATTTATTGATATGTAAGTGACGACGTTGTGACTAGACGATAGCTTGTCCTTATCAATTCAAGTTGCCGACATTGCTTCGAGTATAGGCACGTACGTTACTTCCTTCTTTGACGTTACTCTTAGGAAACTTAGACTTGATAAGGACAACTTATCGTGTTGTTGAAATGTCGTCACCTATATATCAATAAATATATAAGATCTTCATAGCCCTTGATTAACTCATTTATGTTTTCACTTTTAAGTTAAATTCAACATCATTTCAATTTCTGCAACTTGATTAAGCTGCGTATTATTGGCCCCAAGAGAAAACTTATTTTCTTAAGTAAAAACCAATATTACTTAAACTGTGACCTTAGTTTCGAGATGCTGAGAATTTCTTAAGATATGAAATAAAAGGTAGTAACAAGGTGAGTCCAGTGTTTAAGGTTATTTTTGAGATAAAAACTTTATGACCAATTTTTTCTCCAGTTAGTATTTCTCCTTTCACTTTGTATTTTGATGGTGTAATAATTCTTAATCGAGTACGATTACATAAACCATCTGGTATACTCAAATTTCTATTGAGCATTACTATTGTACTTATTTTTAATCGAAGTTCATAAAGTGGTAAACCTTAATGCATACTATTGAACATTTCTATCGAAAAATTGACATACACATTATCGTCTGACTCATTTACCTCTTTATACGTTACGTTATCTTTGCTGTAATGGGGTTCAGTTCCTCCAGTTAATTTTTGTACAACTGTTTCATTTGAGAAACTGGCATACTTATTATGTGAAGTAAGTACAACACTATTAACCGAACTACTATTTAAATTACAAAATATTTCAGAACATACATTATTTGATATCCATTCTTTTACTTTACTGCACAAACGAATACCGATTTGAAATTTCAAAATTTTAAATACCCATAAAAATAATAGTTTAATAGTTTTTCAAAATACTTTTGTAACTTTCCATAAATGGAGGAATTTAATGAAAATTTCCTTTTAAAGTAATCAATAGGCTTCTAACATGTATTTTCTCATTACATCAATCTCTTAAACTTCTGTCAACTGTTTCTAAGGCTTTTTTTATCTACAAGGGAGTTAGAACGCTCCCGCTAAAAGGTGAAGGGGAGCGCTTGTATGTGCACAAGACGCCGCGTGATTGAGTCTGCTGTACTAACCGAGCCCGAAAATGTTAACTCTCTCGATCACTAACTTGCCAGTACTCACTAATCTATTAATAATGTGCTTGAAAAAATTACAGAATGTTCTTCAAGGTATCTTGTTTATTATAGTTTAAATCAAACATCATGAATAATTTCCGTATAGGAGATAAAAATTAGGAGCAAATAGCATAGTCAGTCTAATCAATGTGATCTTTTTTTGATAAAAGTGTGCTATGAATTTTTGAAATTAGAGATTTTCATGATATAGCATTAGAGTATAAAGTGTCATTAGGGCCTATACCAAGTTTCAGTTTATATTTCTAAGTAGAATAACATTTAGAAGTGACGTTGTAAAAAACCGTCGTGCCACATCAAAAGTAGAGCTGACAGCAGGCAGTGAACTCAGTGCGTCCTTGTCTCTCGCATGAATGAAGCACATGGGCGAAAAACAAATTTGTTTACGTTTGTGCAAATATCTTTATAACTGCAGAAGTGAGTTTGTTAAAAATGTGCACGTGTTTTAATAAAGTTGTCAAAAATAACATATCAGTTTTTTAAAATGATTTTATCGAGACGTCAAGCACAATAGGTAATTTTATACATTTAACAGTCGTAAAATTTTTCTAACAGGATGTCGAGTTATTAAAATGTGTGCATGAGGTAGACTACTTTCTTGAAATTCAATTGTATAAACGTTTGCTAGAACTTCACTAAGAATACAATTATTTTTATCATTTATTGATATTTATTTAAAATGAAAGAATCGAACTGTAATATTTGTAATATTATCTTATGTTGCGTTCTTTGGAAACTTATATAAGACTCACTGTAACTTTGTTCCATTTATTATAACATGTTACTATTATAAATAATTGTGATCTACTGCATTTTCTTATCAGCATTATTGCATCTTAATAGTGATTTTGCATATGTCTTGGACTTTAAATATGTTTAGATGGGAGTATAAAGAGATTTCTAATTTTTTTTTTGTTTTAAAAATTTTTAGCATATAAAATGCTCTTTTGCAATGGCTTTTGACAAACCTTACTAAATATCAGTTTTAAAAATTCTCTAAATATATCTTTAATTATTAAAATAAAAGTATTTAATGACGATATAAGAATTTATAAAAAATTTTTGAGTAAATCTTCCTCTATATCTAAATAGACTAAAACTTTCGTAATCTAATCTGTAAGACAGTCTGTATCTATAATATTAAATATAGTAAGTTTTTTCATTTTTCGTTAAGTAATTTTTTATGTTAGCAGTACTCCCTTTGAAACTCTTTGGAGGAAAAAATAATGGACTTACCATCAAATCAACAAAATAAGAGAGTATACTTGAAA